CTTAGTCTCCGAATAGTGTAACGTAACATTTTGTCCTATTGGCTTGAAATATCAAGTTGAATAGATTAGGATTCCTAATCTATGGCATCGCACACAGGATCGTAACAGGATATGATAGTGCATGTTTTCCTATTTTCTAGATTTCAAAACAACAAGTGGTGTTGTAAGCAGTCTAACGGTGTCTCTGTTAGCAGGAAAAGTTGTTGTGGTCTTTACATCTTCAGATGATGACAAAGATGCGATGAGGACTCAGATTGAGTTGCTACTAACCATAAGGGATGGCTTGAAATTCATACCTTTTGTTGTAGATGCTAGAAGTCTGTTCCTGAGCATCACTGAAACAATAACTTGTATGATCTGTTGTTCCCAAGAGATGCGATCCAAGAAATAAAAATTACATCTCACTGTCAGATCCTCATCGCGGTTTCCTCTTGAATTTGATAGCGGCACTAACACTCTCGTTTGAGTATGATTAGAAGCAACAGGCCTGAAGACCAGGGTCAACCGTTACGTTGGACCGATATTGGAGCGACGTTGGACCGATGTTGACCGCTCTCCGCGCCGGCATTCACTCTCGCCACCCGCGAGCCGTCTGTGTCTCCGTGCGTACGTTCACTCTCGGCATTACTCTCGTCGTCGCGTTGGACTTTGTCCAACGGACGGTTGACCCTGCTAGATGAGGAAGAAAAAAAGAAAATCGGGGGAAAAAAAGAACCATTTTTCTTTTAACATTCAAAGGGTTATTACCATTAATACCACTGTAAAAAGGAATACTAACACACCGCAAGGATTGCGATAAAGTGTGTGTGCAACATGGAAGTACATGCAGATGTCTAACGAGTATTATGGAGCCGGAGAAACTAAGATACATGTAGCCTTCTTGTGGTCGAAAGCGCGCCACATTTTCAGCGCTCTAGAGCTGCTAATCCTTCTGAGTTCCTCCTCCACCTGCGCTGCGCCCATCATTGTGTTACCAACAGCAGCAGTGTGGGATTATCGTTTTAATAAGGTATTCCCCTCAAGTGCTTATCTTATACCAGTTTAGTTCCGCACGCTACCGCGCACATGACACGATAGGCTTTGTTGAAACTGTATGTGTGGAAAATTGATTCACCGCTAATGAATACAACACCGAGTTGCATCGCGATGCTCTGGCTGATCCTTCCCATAGCCTTCCCATTTTTACTAAAGCTCACCGAATACGCTCTAGAATGCAGAGCTAAAGTGGTGGATGTAAACAACCACCATGCGTCTAATGTGAGGGTAATTTAGCGGTCGGATGATATTTGATGCTAATGATATTGAATTAGAGATACCCAGTGGTCATTATCGCATTTCCTTGAACATCCACCATACATTTCTAACAACTTTGGACAAAGTAGCGGTCGAAATGAGTTGAGACGATGAAACGCAATGAAGTAAAGTTGAAGATTTTGGTTCTTATCTAGTATTTGGTTTTAAGCAACCTTTATGTTCTTACGCATATCGTTACTATCAGCTGCTATCACTTTTGACCCCACCAAAATGTTCCCGTCCCACCCTGTACATCACTTCTTGGAACCAACGCCTCACTGCTGCTGGGACGTGCGCTGAATTTCGTGAAATTTGCGTTCTAGCGCCTTATCAATCTTATCAGCCGTTATCACTTTCTGTACCCCACCAAATATGTTCCCGTCCCACCCTGTACATCACTTCTTGGAACCAACGCCCCTGCTGCTGGGACGCGCGCTATGAATTTCGTGAAATTTGCGTTTCAGCGCCTCTTATCAGCTCTTATCAGTCGTTATCACTTTCTGACCCCCACCAAATATGTTCCCGTCCCACCCCTACATCATACAAAAAACAGCGCTCACGACTGCAGCGAAGCGCGCTATGAATTTCGTGACAAATACACACACAGACATACTTAGCGAATTATATATAGTAGGAACTCTTCCATGGAATGCGTTATCAATCAAAGCATGGTCTTGGCTGGTATGATGGTGGCTATCGGTTAACATGTGCAAACGACCTCTTAGTTGGTTGCTAGCTCGTCCATTATCGGAGGTCAACGGGCAAAGAAAGGGGTCCCATTTTGCGTTCTTTGACGGATTTCTTTGCTTTTTTCGCCACTGGGCATTACTCTGCATCTCCACTTCCATGACCCCACTCGACCTTATAGTATTCCCAGCTTTAAAGACCAGCACTTGATCATCCCTTTCATAACATTTGCTCGCGTATTAATCCTCAAGTTTTTTTACGCACACCCGACACATGCAACTCAATGACAAATCCAGATTTTCGAGACAGGAGCGAAATTGTCTCGACTAAGTAGACGAGGGAGAAAATTCAATCCTCAACGCGAACTATCTGAATAACAATGGTCTGAAGCCTAAAACTGACGAAGAACTTACTGTTGACGTAATTATCAATGATAGATTCCATCCGTACATAAACGCTTGTGCGTAATGGGAGAATCTAAAACGAAGTGTGTGTTGTTCATAGCGAAACAAAACACGTGGTAGGAGATAGATATGGTGAAAAGATCGGATTTCAAGAAACCCTGCAGTTACGTGGCAATGCGCAAAGCTCTTGACTGGATCACCAAAACGCCGTAGCTTTTTTGCATAAATTCATCTAGCAGTGCGTGAATAACATAAAAGGTTATGCCCGTCTAGAGGAAAAGCAGATGTACGCCTCCGACCTTTCTCTTGGTTTCCGTAAGGGAGGGACTAAGCCATGAACACCTCGAAGGCGAGGGATTA